ATTTATACTAGAACACTTTACATTGTCTGGCAGGTTTCTAAAACTCTGTTCATTTTTCTTAATTTTTTTTGGTATCTTTTAGATTGGATTACTATTGATTGCTCTCTCTTCAAATTCAAACTCTTTCTTCTGTCATCTCAGATCTGCTGTTGAACCTATCTAGTGAATTTTCAATGTTAGTTTTATAGTTTTCAGCTCTAGAAAATCCATTGATTTTTTTTAAATCGTTTTTTAAATTTATTTTCAGCATAACAGTATTCATTGTTTTTGTACCACACCCAGTGCTCCTTGCAATCCATGCCCTCTCTAATACCCACCACCTGGTTCCCCCAACCTCCCACCCCCCCCACCTCTTCAAACCCTTCAGATTGTTTTTCAGAGTCCATAGTCTCTCATTGTTCACCTCCACTTCCAATTTCCCCCAAATGCCTTCTCCTAACTCCCCATGTCCTCCATGCTATTTGTTATGCTCCACAAATAAGTGAAACCATATGATAATTGACTCTCTCTGCTTGACTTATTTCACTCAGCATAATCTCTTCCAGTCCCGTCCATGTTGCTACAAAAGTTGGGTATTCATCCTTTCTGATGGAGGCATAATATTCCATAGTGTATACGGACCACATCTTCCTTATCCATTCGTCCGTTGAAGGGCATCTTGGTTCTTTCCACAGTTTAGCGACCGTGGCCATTGCTGCTATAAACATTGGGGTACAGATAGCCCTTCTTTTCCCTACATCTGTATCTTTGGGGTAAATACCCAGTAGTGCAATTGCAGGGTCATAGGGAAGTTCTATTTTTAATTTCTTGAGGAATCTCCACACTGTTCTCCAAAGTGGCTACACCAACTTGCATTCCCACCAACAGTGTAAGAGGGTTCCCCTTTCTCCACATCCCCTCCAACACATGTTGTTTCCTGTCTTGCTAATTTTGGCCATTCTAACTGGTGTAAGGTGATATCTCAGTGTGGTTTTAATTTGAATCTCCCTGATGGCTAGTGATGATGAACATTTTTTCATGTGTCTGATAGCCATTTGTATGTCTTCATTGGAGAAGTGTCTGTTCATATCTTCTGCCCATTTTTTGATATGATTATCTGTTTTGTGTGTGTTGAGTTTGAGGAGTTCTTTATAGATCCTGGATATCAATCTTTTGTCTGTACTGTCATTTGCAAATATCTTCTCCCATTCCGTGGGTTGCCTCTTTGTTTTGTTGACTGTTTCCTTTGCTGTGCAGAAGCTTTTGATTTTGATGAAGTCCCAAAAGTTTATTTTGGCTTTTGTTTCCTTTGCCTTTGGAGACATATCTTGAAAGAAGTTGCTGTGGCTGATATTGAAGAGATTACTGCCTATGTTCTCCTCTAGGATTCTGATGGATTCCTGTCTCACGTTGAGGTCTTTTATCCATTTTGAGTTTATCTTTGTGTATGGGGTAAGAGAATGGTCGAGTTTCATTCTTCTACATATAGCTGCCCAGTTTTCCCAGAACCATTTATTGAAGAGACTGTCTTTTTTCCACTGTATATTTTTTCCTGTTTTGTCGAAGATTAACTGACCATAGAGTTGAGGGTCCATATCTGGGCTCTCTACTCCATTGATTCTTTTTTTTAGAATTTCCACTTCTCTGTTGAGATTCTATTTTTGTTGGCTCTTTAATGTAATTTCCTTTCATTTTTTGAGCATATTGTCCTTTAATTCCTTGAACATAACTATAACATTTGCTTTGAGGTTCGTCGGCTAAATTGAACATCTGGGCCCATTTGGAATCAGAATCTAGTGACTTTTTTTTTCTGGTCACAGTTTCCTGTTTCTTGGCATGTATGATAATTTTTAGTTGAAAATTAGATATTGTAGTGACTCTGAATTCTGTTTTATTTTCCTGAAAGTTATTGATTTTTGTTTTGTTTTGTTTTACTAACTTATCTACACCTCGATTGTTTTCCTCTATGGTGTGCAGCACCTAATATCACTGTGCAGTTTTTAATCTCTTAGTCTTCTACTTTGGTTTTTTTTTTTCTACTTTGTTTTTTACTCTGGCTTTCTAAGGGTATCCCCTGGTTCTGCATTGTTTAATAGTCAGGCAGTTATTTGAATGTAAGTTATGCTCAGACACTTTGAAAAAGCAAACCTTCCACCTTCTGCTATCTCAACTTTATGTGGTTGGAGGAACAAATTCAAATCTACCGTTAGCCCTTAGGTTTCCCTTAGTTTTCACTTTCTGCTTCTCTCTCTTGGTTCTTCCCAACTCATGCATATTATATCAGTCAGTAAAAGAGGTACAGAGTGTTTATTAGCTCAGCCCTTTCATGACTCTCTTACTTTCAGGATCTCCGCCGTTATCTTTCTGGGTGATTTTCTGCCTACTCGGAACAGAAGCTATAACCTCAAGCAAGTAAAGCTGCAGATTTTCACTTCTTATCTAGAACTGATTCCATGACCTTTAACCCATAAAACTGCAGATTTTCATCTCCCCATCACAGACATAGCTGTCACCACTAGCTGGTAAGCCAACTGGTTTTCACTAACTAACAGCTCTCAAACCAAGCTCACTATTCATTCCCATTGGAAAAGCTGTGATTCTCACGACTCAGGCTAAGGGGTGGGAGGAGGGGGTTGAACCTGTAAGCAAGAAGACCACAAACTCATGGCCATTCTAATGCAGTAGCAGTTTTTCAAGATTAAACATTTCTTCATTTGTTGTTTGGCTTTGGTCATTTTCTAGTGCCCTGAAATGGTTGGTTTTGACATCTTTGTCTAGTTTTTTGCTTGTTTTCTTCAAAGGGTGATTGCTTCTCACACCATCACTCCTCCAGTGAATTTTCAACTAGATTACTTTAATGTTTCTTCTACTCAAATATTTTACTGCCCTTGGTTTTGATTTTGATCAGAAATGTACTGGTGTCAAGAGGTTGGCGCAACCAACATGGAAGGAGAGCTCTAAATTTTGCATAAGTCACCTCAAAAGTGCAAAAATAAATGGGAGAGCCAATGAGGCTGAACATTAAACTGGGGTTTCAGAGTCCAATCTCAGTGTAGCCATAAGAGCCCTCTCTAAGGTTCTTTAACAAACGTGTCTAAAAAGGATACTCCTAGCCTCACCTTACACATTTCATAGCTTCCTGTCTTCTCCCTTGGGTCCTGCCCCCATCTCCTCTCTGCCTTTCTCATGGATTCTATGACTCCGTGAGGGTGAAAATGGCTGAAATTAACTTTCACTTCTGCTCAGACAAGTGAAACCCAAGAGCAAGGTCATTTCCTCGTTCTTTTCTGAGTGGCTGCTAGAATCCATTTTTGTTTTTTTTCCGACCCCTGTTTATTGGACATAGATAGAAAGGTGACACTTTTTTTCCAGACCACACAAAGGCTAGCTTACCCTCCCTTTCCTGCAGACATTCACCTCCCCTTGAGCTCCAATTTTGAACAGATGAGCCAGAGTCAGAGGAAAATAGATTTTCTCCTTAGGAAGGTAGATTTCCTGCTCCCACTACACTTTTAATGTGCTCAGGTGCAAGTATATAATTTGTCCAAAAGTCACTTATTTAGTCATTTATTTAATTAGACATAATGGTACATAACTCAGGCAGCATCATTTGGATGCTTGTTCAGTAAAAGATTCAACCTAAGTATCTGCCTCTGAGAGTTTGAAAGATTCTTAGTCACAAACCATGTTCAAAGCCATCTGCTTGGTAACTTCTTCTAATAATCCCTGATGTTCCTATTGCTTCTGCCCCTGTTCTAATACTGTGCCTTGTTGGGATTCTGTGGCCCCATTTCCCACCCCGCATTATTATGTCTATCTACCAGACATCCTTTCCAGTCTCCCTAGGCTGACTCCCTCAAGGGAAGATCATGCTTATTTATACCTCAACCCTGAGCCTCTGGCATGTGCTTAACACAGAGCAAACGTTCACAAAACGTTATTTGTTGGTTGGTTGGTTGGTTATTTGTTGTGTTAATTGAATTGAAATAACAAAGCTAAATAATCTCATCTCAAGTCAGCAAGTCTTTAGATCAAGAGTTTAAGGAGTTTGGGATTCTTTCAAGTTGTATTTAATGCTTAGATCGGACTCTCAGGTGTCAGGAGATGAATATAATAATAAATTAATAAGAGCTATGATTCACTGAGCACAACTCGTTCGGGACACTGTTCCAGGCTCTTCACTACCAAGGATAGAAGAAGAAAAAGCAGTGTTAAGGATTAGGTTTGGGACTTAGATTAGACGTATTCACATCAGCTACAAGTTATGTGGAGTTTATTATGTACTAAACACTGTAATACAAATTTTTATGCGTTAATCCATTTACTGTGCAAAAAACTTTTGGGGAAATCAGGTAGGTTGTTTTCAAAGAGCCATGGAACCCAAAAACTCCATGTTGCTGCGGTTGTTGCTATGAACATCTGCAAAAAGCTCTTTCTTACCCAAAACTCACAGCAAATTACTGTCTTAGTCCTAAAATCCATGAGGAAACTGAGATTCTGGTCTGTGGTTCCAGGCCAGGAGTAGAAGCAAGCCTGTCTGAACTCCATCCCTGCCAATGTTCCCAGACATAAAGGCAGGAGAGGAGCAAGTACAGTGGGACAATGGAAGAGGCTCTGTGATCAGAATCAATGACTGCTTAGACTGCTATTTTTTTTTTAAATGAGAATTAGCATTTGTTGAGAGGCAATTCTGTGCCCGTCACACCCATTCTGTCATTTGTGCCCATGGTATCTCTGGGCTAGGTATTATCAGCACTATTCAGAAGACAAGACAAAATCAACAAGGCTGAGAGAACAGCTTCCCAGGCTCACACAGATGGCAAAAGACAGCAGAGACCAACCTCTTTCTTGTCTTGCAGATAAATGCTGCAAGGCAGAGAGAAATACCTTGTAGAGTTAGCTTGGAGGTTTACTAACTCTGCCAAGTCTGGTGCGGGAAAGCACCACCCATGTCATTAAACCAAACCCCCATGAGAAAACTTTCTAGTAGCAGAGGGTCATTGGAACCAGTGTGGCCCAGGGTCTGAGAAAGACCAGCTGCTTGTGGTCCTTCCTCCCAGGCTTTTCTGGGTCAGTGGTGCCCATTGGACCCAGTGAATCCACAGACGCCTTCAAAGTGTTCCATGGGAGGGGCGGGGCTCCTTGGAGGAAGCTGGTGAAGCTCTGACCACAGACTGGGGAGCATGCCACCTCTGCTGGTGCTTGCCGCCAGCAGGAAGCCACGAGCTACGGGAGCCGATTGAGACAACCACGATGGGCTTTTTCTTTGGGATTGTATCAGGAATTGCTGGTTATAACTAGAAGGCTGCAGCATCACGAGGGTGCTGGGATTGAAAAAGCTATGGTGACAAGCTACTGAGCCTTACCAAGGTAAGACTGCATCTTTGTTTTGTTTTGTTTTTGATTTATAAAAGCTCATCCATCCAGGGATATCTTGTTTCTTGGGCTTTCTAAGCTGGAAAAGCCAGTGAATGTGCCACAGAGGAAAGACAGGAGAAGACTGTGGGGTAGGAAAGGGGGTGGGCACATGCATACCGGCCATGGGGCTCCTGGCAAGTTATTCAGCATCTCTATAAACAAGGGTAATGGTACCTAAGAGGCAGACGCGGCAGAGGCTAGCAGGGATGTATGGGGAGTGTCTGGCTCAAGGCAAATGACTGATTGTTGCCCTCTTTATATTTTGCTTGTTTTTAAACAAGGTTTTCCATTTTTCAGACATCAGGGGTAGTGTGATAGAATAGGTTTAATGATTACTTTTTGGGCTAAGCGATCAGTTTCTGAGAAGGAATGAACAGTTGACAACACATTTTGGGAGGGGTTTTAAAATTCTAGGGCTTTGACAACTGTTCCAGTCATTTGCTAATTGGCCACTGCTTTCACCTTCAACTGTCCACACAATCAAAGGACTATAGAATGGTTATCATCGTGCTGCCACAGTTAGAGAGAAAAATTGTGCATGATATATGTAGATACTTCTCCTTCCTGGATGGAGTTTGATTCCCCTCACCTTTGGTGCTGAAGGGAGTTAGAATAAAATATGGAAACGGAAGAACAGTAACTCCATAATGGAGTATGCTGGCAGACACAACCTGAATCAGGTGAATCAAGGTTAATGTCTCGAGGGATAAGTCGTGTTGTATTATATAACTTTGGTTATGGTGCAAAGAGAAAGTACTTCCCCTCTGTGCTGTTCTTCCCCCAAACCCTTAGCCCTGATCTCATCATGAAAAAACATCAAACAAACCCAAAGTGAGGGAAAATCTACAGAATACTTGACCTTTGCCATTGTCAAGGTTATGGAAAAGGAGGAAATATGGGGGAACTGTTACACGTCAGAGGAGAGTAAGGAGACATGACAACTAAATTCAAAACTCACATCTGGGATTGGAGTGGGTCCTAGGGGCAAAAAGTCATTAATGAAAAAATAGGTAAAATCTAAATAAAGTCTGGAGTTTAATACCATTGTGTCAATGCGGGTTTCCTCGTTCTGGCAAATGTACCTTGGTTAAGTAAGACAGTAATATTAGGGGGAACGGAGTGCAGGGTATATATGAAGTCTCCAGGCTATCTTTGTAACTTTTCTGTAAACCTAAAATTATTCCAAAATAAAAAGCTAAAAAAGATTATACTCATCCTGCCTCAGAGCAGATGTGGTCAAAAGGTGAGCCTGCTTTGGGAAAACTGGAATCCATGACATGGTGGTTCCTGCCCTCTCTTTGAACTTTCTGGAACACAACAGGCCTTTTGCATTTTTTACCATTGTCTCCCCCAACCCCCACCTTAGTCCTAGAAAGTTCTATATTTCTCTCTCTCTTTTTAAAGATTTTATTTATTTATTTATTTACTTATTTACTTATTTAAGAGAGAGAGAGCGCACAGAGGGAGAGGAAGAAGCAGACTCCCCACTGAGCAGAGAGCCCAATGCAGGACTCAATCCTGGGACCCTAAGATCATGACGTGAGCCGAAAGCAGAGGCCTAGCCAGCTGAGCCACTCAGATGGCCTTATATTTCTTTCTCTTTGTGGCATTTCTCATCATTCATGTATTCTTTTATTCAGAACAGTTTTTGAGCCCTTACTGCATGTCAGGGGCTTTAGGGCCAAGTGCCCCCTCCTCTGTCTGCCCAGCAGTGCTCACTGTGCTGGTTCAGGCTCACAGTCCTCTAAGTACACCCAAACCTGACCTCCTCCTTGGTGATGAAGCAGAAGGCCAGAACAGAGGCAAGTGAGGGCCCTGACCCTGTGTGGAATACCAGGATGGAATCTGCTGTCCTCTGGGCCCAGTCATCCCCACAGAACCTGTGGCCAGCCAAGAAGCTGTGAGCCAAGCTGGGAACCAATTCCCTGGGAGCCCACTGTGCCACCCTCAAGTCTGCAGCAGCCAAACAGAGCCGCCAGAGGCCAGCATCCTTGCTTGTAAGGGTCACGTGTGTGGGGAGGTAGCAGTGGAGCCAGAGCAACCTGACCCCACCCCTCCAATACATCCCTTACCCACCCCCACCCACCCAACAGGCCCAGCAGAGCAGGTGTGCTCTGGTTCATGGGTGATGTCCCAGACAGATTAGAGAAAGAAGAAAGAATCATGAAGCTGTAGGAAGACAGCACTTAGATGAAAATCAGAACAGTTAGATGAAGATCAGAAGGGAGAGCAGCGATTACCACTGGGTCTCGGGTCCTTTTCCTGTCACAGCTCCTGTTCCCCCACTACCAGCCCATCTGCTTTGTCTAAGTCAGCCCCGTGCTGCTCTGGAAAGGTCCAGACCATGCTCCTCCTGTTCCCTCAGCCTGGGGCCCCCTCCCTACCTTCTCATCAGGGCAAGTCCCACCTGTTCTAACTCCTGGGACCAAAGCCACTGCCTTCTCTTCTGTCCCCAGTGCCCAAATCCATCCCTGTGTCCCCGTGAACTTCCAACAGATGCTGAGGGCTCCTTGTTTGCAGGAGTTCTGGATCTGTACTTCCCCAGAATAGGGAGGTGGGCCTCTTACATCCTCCCCTGGGTCCCAGAGCACAGGAAGGTATCTGGAGCAGGGTGGATGCCCTGTGAAATGGTTCTTGAGGGAAAGGAACAAGGGCAAGGAGGAAGAAAGCTTGAAGGCAGAAATGCATGTAAGACTTAATGACCATCCTTAGGCACAGTGACCACCCTTAGGCATGGTGACCACCCTTAGGCACAGTGAGCTTTGGTGCCATCACCACACCCAGGGTTTTAATGGGGGCCCTTGTGGAAGAAGGTGGTTGTCACTAGATCTCTGGTGTGTTCCGCTAGCTGCAAGGTGCAGTATCGTCCAGAGGAAGACGATGGGCCTTGGGGCCAGCCAGTTTTTCTCTAGGACCTGGTTCTGCCACTTCCAGCTAGATGAGCGTGAGCAAAGGACCCAGGTCTCTGTAAGTTGGGAGCAGGTGCACTCAACTTTAAGCCCAGATATGAGAACTAGATAGAGCAGGATGATTAGAGCATAGAAGAGGCTCTGCATTGGTCCCTGCTTACCCTGCAGGACCTCGGCTCACCACAGGCCACTGTGTGCTTTCTCACCAGAGGGCTGATACTCAAAACCATGTCATATAAAGAGGTTCTCTTGGGTGCCTTGTCCTTACCTCTTTCTGTGGACTTCTTCACATACCTTGGTATCTGAACTGCTAGGTTACGACCCGGGTGAAGCGAGCGAGTCACCTGGGGTACAGAGTTTAAGGAAGTCCTCACTCTCAGGGTTGCTCGGGCTCAGGAAATGTTTGTGCAGGTTTCTGTAGTGTCTAAAAGATACGAGGTGGTCTGCGCTTAATGGATGAAGTCAGGAGTTCAGACCTCCAAGACCGCAGACCCTTGATGAGTTTCATGGGGTCTAGGAGCTCTCTGAACTTGTCTGCAAGGTTTTATGCACATGTACACTCCCACACCAAGCATGCCTGGCTTCTATCACATTCCCAAAAAGATCCACCAACTCCAAATATCTGGAATCAACACATCCAATATTTAGTAATAATAATTTAATTTTAGCTCTCAGTGTATTGTGGATCCCAGGAATTAGAAAAAACGTGGGCATAGGAATACCACAAGGCAGCTACAGCTGAAAGGTTCTCTAGGATAGAGGTTGGATGGCCAGCCTGTGGACCAGAGCGCTTCAGTTCAAGGTGTTGCCCTGCAGCTTTCTGACTGTGACCTTGGGCAAGTCACCAAATGTCACCAAATGAAATAACAGTAGTTCAACCTCAGTCCATACTGACATAACTCAGGTAGGTTAATTTTACCCTGGAGTCTTACTTCTTTATTTGTTAGTAACAGTTGAAACTGAAAAGTATACAATATTTCCACCTAGATTCTATCTAGTTCTCAATGTGAGGATCACCAGAAGAGTCCCTATAGTTTGCAAAGAGCACTTTGCACGTTGTAACTTTTTAAATTAGTTTTTATGTACAATGTTTATTTTGAAGTTTCAGAAGAGAGACCATGGTTTTGTTATGTTTCTCAAAGAGGAAATGCATTTAATATGACTGAGAAATGAATCCAGATATTTTGGGTGTGCCCCCCTCCCCTTCCTTCCCCACCATCAAGCTAGTCGGTCCAAGATGCATGGGGTGTTCAAGGGATTGCATTCCAGAATCAGGATCAGGCACACTTTCCTGGTGAGGGCATGTCGTCCTAGGCATGAGCCTAAGGTTGCTGTAAGAAGTAAGGTAGGGAACTGTGTCATTGTTACTGTGATGCCACTAAGACCGCTGTTCACCATTCCTCTCAGAACTACCCTAAGAGTTGCAGGAGAATTTCTGTCAGGCTCCAGACTTGGGAAATCCATGCTTCTCTGGAGCAATGGATATCCTAAAGACACTTTTTCCTCCAACTGATGATTACCCACTCTGTGCTTTGGACTACAGGACACTTAGAGCCTAATTTGCATCTAACCACTAGCAATTGGGTAGCCCCATCTTATGGTCTGTATTTCTTTGTAACCAGCTTTACCCTCAAAATTGTTTCTCTACCCTAATTTATCCTTTGGTCTTCATTTCTTCATCTCTTTTTCTCTTCTATTTGTTTCATGTTTGCTTTCATAAGTGGCTTCAAATCTTTTTGGAAGCCCCAGAAAATGAATAAATAAACAAAAACAGAATAGCATTTTTGAAAGAGCTTGGTGCCTGGTGTGGGTGCTCCATAAGAATTAGTTCCCTTTCTGTGTACAAAACAGAAACCAATTCCTTTTTTGTTTGTTTTGCCAAAGGGGTCAACCTATGGCGAAATGCTCAGCTGTGAGTCTATTATAGGTGCGTAAACAGCTTGTTACACTACCTATTTTTAGATATTCCACCTTGTATTGTAGCAAAGATTATACATAGTTATTTCATGTTAAGTTTTCCTTTTATTTCTTACTATACAGCCA